TGCCGCACAGGACCGTGCGGACTATTAGAGGAACTGTGGTGACGGTGGTCCTCCACCGGACAACTGGGACGCACGAGGACGACCCTGAGGCTCCCTCATCAGCGTGAGGCTGTTATTTGCTACTAACCCTATTTACCTATCCCTTTTGTTGTCTTGTATAATAAACTGTGCGTAGTGTCCAATTACGCACCCTTTTATATAAACCCGGAGTCCTGAGTAATTCAAAGGAGTCTACACCTTGGAGTCAACGATTACTATTGGACGGGTTTCCTGCTACCGATCGCAGAGGTCCCCCTTACGAACCTCTCCGAACATCGCAACCTTCGCAGATAACATCTCCAGATGCTTTTCCTGATAACTCTCTGGAGATCCCAGCACTCCGGAAACCCCATTCTGTAGGAGGCACCCCAAGCCAACCTACAAAACTTCTTTCGAGTGTAAATCCCTTTCTTCTTCGTCGCATAAAAGCTCTGAGACGAGTCGATCTCAAATCCGGAAGGGCTCAGACGGAAGCGTCCATCTGTTGACAGAAAATGATACAGGCAAAAAATTGGAAAAATTGTGAAGCAAATGTGTGAAGTTTTGAATGCAGAGTAGAACTCCGAGGTAAAAAGCCCAGTCCAGCAATGGGCCTCCTTTCAGTTAAGGGAATCCTCATATTTTCCACTTGCCATGAGATACCACTGACAATAAACCAATTCAAATGAATCTCTTATGGGATAGGTAGGCTAATGACCTACTACTACAGGATGAGAGTCACCCAGATTGTCAACTCACAACTGTGCCGATCGACTCATAGGGAACACGCTCTCATATAAAGATCCTCTTCCAATGCACCAATGTCCTCCATCAAGCCTTAACACACATTCTTCAAGGTTGCAGAGAGCAAAACAATGACCACGATCCTCCACGATTTCTTTGTTTCGGCTTTTACGAGCGCACATGATGACGCTCCGATGTGTTTCATGTTTGATGTTGCAAATTTTTTGTTCTTTTTTGTTTTTTAATTTTTCAGTCTTTATGATTTGTTAGAGCGCGCATGCCTTCGCTGTCGCACATTTTCTCGCGTCTGCGGAGTCATGTCCACACAGCGTCTCTCTCATCGTTCTCATCTTTGAAGTTCTGTCCTTGACGTCCAAGGTAGGCCGATGAGAACATTCCATGGCTACAACTTTCCCCATACCGACGATTTCCAAAAACTCTTTTGTTTGGAATTTACCTTCTAATGACGAGGATGAGGGAATGAGACAGAAGATAAAATTTGGGAAGGAACCAAAATATATATTGTACGCAGCAAGAACGAATAATGCCTTGTCTCTGATTCCTGTCATTCTAAAATGACGTCTGTCACAAAGTAGGAGACTTGAAATAAATTAACAGTCNGAGGGAATGAGACAGAAGATAAAATTTGGGAAGGAACCAAAATATATATTGTACGCAGCAAGAACGAATAATGCCTTGTCTCTGATTCCTGTCATTCTAAAATGACGTCTGTCACAAAGTAGGAGACTTGAAATAAATTAACAGTCATGTTCACATTATTTACACACATAACAGATTTCCAGAATGTCTGAAAGCACAAGCATTACACACGTCACAAGCTCCATAGAAGAAATGAAAACGAGCCCAAAGCCATCTCGCCGGGATTTCCCCAGAACTCCCAGCTTGTATAAGCGTCTCGATGGAGCCCGCAGTCCCGGTAGATTGCATCACAGATGAGATTTTGAAACAGACGAAAGTCAGCTGATACTGGGACGCCGAGGCTGACACGTCCAAGCGCAGCACTCGGTCTCATTGCGACTCGGAGAGACGGAAGACGATTCCTTCCTTGCAGTTTCCCCCTTTGCCTTCCGTCTTGAATGATTTCCGATCGGAGAATCCCCACTCCTGTCCTTCCAGACAAACGTTCTCTGGAAGATCATAGATTAAAAGACTAGACAGCCTTCAAGCCATGATCGACTCAATTTCGATGCAGACGGAACGTTTAGAAAAGTACTTATTTGCCTTTTTTTCGGAAAAATTCCCCAATAATCTTCATAATTGAACACCTAAATGGTAATGTAACATCCAAGTGATGAATCGAAGTGTGGACAACCTTCTCATAATTGCTTGAACATGGCAGGGCATCTTAGCACTACCAAGAGGGATTTAGAGTTCAGCGGTCCGGACTCTCTTCATTAGCATGTACTGAAAAACCTTCCTTCACTCCGACACACAGCATCCCGACCCCTCCACCCTCCCCCACCAAATGATGTCTGCGCCACTGCAAATTTCTTCCCAAGAGTGAAAGTCCTTTAAATATCATGGTTGATACTAAGAACTTTGTTTATTTTGCCGCCTTAAGTTGATAGAAATCCTACACTACAGTTACACTTCAAGATGTCATTCTGGCGGTAGGCGTCTCTGGAGCCTCCATTAGACTGAGATTGAGGTCGTTCTGGGCAGGGCTATTCTTGGTTGAATGCAGCGAGTCAACGAAAGCTTGTGGACCGAACCAGCTCAGCATCACCGGCAGGTAAACCAATCCGTGATACAATCCATATATCACCGAAAACCAGATGACCTGTCGAAAAAAAAAACATTAATAAAGCTTTTGCTAGTGTGCTTCAAAGCACACTTGTTACCAAATTATCGTAGGTTTGGTATATGGAAACTCACCTTGAGGGTAATCTGGAAGAGATAATTTTCGCTCCAAAGACAAAACACAAAAGCCATCATTGTCGTAAAACCTCCATTGAAAACGGGTGGACCAATTTCTGCCAAGGTGATTCTCACTCGGTCTATGAAAAGAACAAAACATTATATTTGCTACTTCTCAGCAGAGCAGAGCTCTTCTCAGAAGTAGAGCGCCTCCAGCACCGTCTTTAGAATCGCCAGGAGTAGCCAAGAATTTGTGAGCGATGTGCGTGGAATAGTCGATCGCCAAGCCGACAGACAAGATGAGAAGAACTGACGACATGAGCTCGATGGTAAGTCCGGCGAATCGCATGCTGCCCGCGATTCCGATCAGGGTGAAAAGAACGCAGGAGAAAACCCAAATAGAGACCTGCAAGTCTCCAATCAGCACCAATGTCACCCCGAACACTCCGACCAAAGTCAGACCGAGATTCCTCACCAGCTCCTCGGACACAACCTTTGGAGTAACATGCAAATCATAATACAGCATAGCCAGTGTGCCATTCAGCATCTCCATTACGTCCGCTGAAGCCAATACGAGTCATTCCCGATCTATACCGCATTCATTCCCATCTGGCCGTCGGCATCAAGAGATGGACGTGAGGATGGTGAAGGGAGATCCATAAGTGTACCCGATTAATGAATAACGATTACAGTTCTTCCACTTTTGGTCAGTCCATGAGTCCTATCGGTCATTTCATCATTAATAAGATCTTAAAATAAAGCAACAAAAATATCACTTGACATAAGTAACAAACCTAAGTTAAAAAGAAATTAGAATAGTCGAAAGTCGTTCGGTGAAATCACTTATTGACCAATTTTTATAATGAGATATTAACACTTCGAGCATTTCCAATCTTGTGACAAGAGCAATTTTATCCATTGATGAAGTTGGCAGTTCGTGACAAAGTTTGTTCGTTTCTCTTAATTGATAAATGGGGTGACAGTGCAAAGGAACGAGCTTCCAACTCTTTCGCGTTGAGACAGGAATAAATATTGCCGTCTAAATACAGTAATTTTGAAAAGGCCAACAGAAATTCAGTTATTGTGGCCAACGATCCAAAAACCAGGTAATATAATGCAACCTATAAGAAGCAAAAAAAAGTCCCAAAGCATGCTATCTCTCTATACTGCTCGATCCGAGAATGCAAAAAAAATACGCATAGCTTAACCTAAACTTGGAATTAAGAATAATTTAATTAAAAATTCGAAGAATACCAAAAAATTTTCCCAACGTCTGAAATTGGTTGTAACCTTGAATTGAAAAAACCATATGGAACTATTTCTTCTAAAGCAACTCACAACCATGAAATCCAACGGGACCAATAGACATTCAGCACATCGCAAAAGCAATATCCATGTAAATCATACTCTGGCAAATTCGAATGCTGCATGCAAATTACGTGGACGTATGGAAAAAGTTTCACTCGAACTTCGGAGATGCGCCCTCTAAGTGAGGAAACCGCTTGCCTCGTTCGATCGGATGACGAGGTACTCTAAAGTGAGAGCTCCTCTGAATGGATCTCTCCCCTTGAATTGGACTCCGTGCAGAACCTCTTCCACCTCGCGGAGTCCTTGTCGTTTTTCTTCCCCGGTGTTGAAATGAATGTGTTGGTACCTCCCTCTCGAAGCCTGAACGGTACGGTACACATTTTATAGCTTCTCGATCCAAACGACGAGTCTCGCGTTACGTTACGGCATGCACTCACGGTGAGGTTGTAGTCCGTTAAGAGGTTCCCGGTGTATTTAAGATCGCTTATGAATTTCCGTCCCTTCTTGGTGAAGACCAGAAAGATGGAAAGCTTCTGCTTGAATGTTGCTTCGGTTTTCGGATAGTCCTCTGAAAAATATAACTCACATCACCTGACGGAATTCTCGCAAATTCTATTTCGATATAATGGTAATCGGGTCAGCTGTAACCTTATAGCGAAAGCTAACTGTCAATTCACCATTCGGCACCCAACCCGACACTGCATGGGTTTCCTTTTTCAGTCCTGCCTGGCGGAATTTCTGGCACGGTGTATCACCCCTTAACAAACCGATTCCAAGGCCGAGAAAGATTAGAATCTCCAACGTTTTTCATTTTTTCCAATACAATCAATTTCCTTTCATGGCTCCTTGTCGGTCCAGGGCGGAGAAGCGAAACCGAGAAAAGAAAAAATAAGGTTCTCGAAAATCGAGACTAAATCGCCGGCTATCTCATGTCCGGAATACCGAGAGTTGGACGCTTGCACAGCCTTTTCAACGTGTTTTCAAGCAAAAAGGAGAAAAACTCTTCTCGCGCAATCCCCCAAAATTTCAAGACTAGTCAACGGGCAATGCCCCTTCCCCACATGACCCTACTATAGATACATGACAGTTTCGCAAGTGAGTGTTAAGCCGAGTTTAAAGTCAGTTTCTCAGCGGTCCCCCTACCGAAGTTGCTTGGGTAACCCTTTACAAAACGTCCACCCCCTAACCACCTACATGAACATCTAAGTGGATAGGTAGTGCATTTGGAACAAAATGAATGTCCCCCCTGTTGGAAATATACCTACCCATTTGCGCACATTTATTGCGAGCCAGGTGAAATTTTCCCCGGGTGGATCATCGCTCCAACA